GCCCACAAGCCTGAGAATAATGAAGTCTCACCCCCAGCAGGGCTCTGATTGCTCAGGGGGCGAGTGAAGTGTGCAGAGGATTCTCTGCAGGGCTGTCCAGTGCGCTTCAGACCGAGCCACTGCTGCACAGCACCCATCTTTATGGGTGCAGTGGAGATCTCAGAGTCACTCAGCAGAATGTAAGGGCCAGCCATAGGGTTTCACTATACAATTGAGGCTGGCCTTGAGCTCACTTTGTAGCCCAGGCTGTTCTTGAACTTGCAATGATCCTCCTGCCTCAGCCTCCTGAGCATTGGGATTATAGGCATGCTACTGTGCCTGGTTTAGTGTATGTCTTTTGTGGTGCTTGTTGCCTTTTGGTTGCAAGATGACTGCAGAACCTCCAGCCGTCATATCCACACTCAGGGCAGGAAGACTCAGGAAGGGTGAAGGTGAGATTAGCAGCATCTCCCCTTTACTTGACCATGAAGTTTTTCAGAGTTCTCCACAGCACACTTCCCCTGAGATCTCACTGCTCACAACTGGGTTATATGGACGCCCTTACTTACAAAGGAAGCTTTTCAGACTGGCATGGTGAGTGCAGACCTCAGGTCTGCCTCCTGCTCCTCCCGCTGGCCCAGTGTGAGGGTGGGGGTGGGGCGAAGGGCATCCACCTTCCCTCTCTGCTGCCGACCCCTCCGCCCGCCTTGGTCACACATGCTTTGCGCTCCACTCCACAAGTTCTTGGTCGCCCTTTGAGGCCAAGCCTACATGTCCCCTTCCCTGGCAAATTTTCCTGAGCTGCCCCGACTATGACAAAATGAACAATTCCCTCCTTTCATCCTCAGATGCACTTTGAAGAAAACGTACTGTGAATAAAGCTCATTCTGCAGCATTAAAGAATCATTTGCTCAGTCTTGCTAGTTTCAAAGTTGTGTTCAAAATACGGTTGTAACCTTAGCAGCAGGCTTAGTGCCTTGTCTTTCAGTATCTGTTCTCATCTTATCATTAAAACACTAAAACAACCTTGATTTCTGATCAGATCTGAGGCTACTTTGAATAAAGACCAACTGTTTCAGCCTTCTTTGTGCACAGTTCACTGAAGCCATGTGTCGTAACACCCGGAGCCACAGCAGCCTTATTGTGTCATGGGATGACATTAAAATGGCATTGTGTGTTGCAACTGGACATGGTGGAACAGGAAGATGTGAGTCTGCAGGTTCCTGGAGTATAATGTAGGAACTGCATTCACATGTTATATTACATATGCACTATATTGATTTGTTGACTACCGATTGAACACTGTGGCCCCTAAGTTTTGGTAACTTCTGAGCTATATTAAGCCAGGCAGCATTTCTTAACATATGACCTCTAGGCTTGGGCAGGCCCCACAGATCCCTGCAGTATCAACCTTGACCGAACTGGCCCAAGTGCCTTTCCTACCCCAAACACACCGCTGTCTGTGTCCCCTACCCCAGCGGCAATGTTGCTTGGGTTACTTACTAGGAACTGATTACTCAATCCTGGCATCGTGCAAGGAGTGACTCGTGAAGGGAGGACAAGGTCGGTCGGGCTCAGACACTTCCCTCTTTGACCCCACCTCTGACCCACACTGGCGAATGATGTCCTCCTAGACAGGTGGGTCACGGCTGGAGATCCGAGTTCTTCTGTAGAGGGGGTCCCCGTTCTAGCATCTGAAATCTAGTTTAAAGCCATTGGAAGCGGGAAAAGTCTGTGGCGTGCTGAGGGTCTTCCTGAGTAGGTCCGAGGAAAATCAGTTCAAGGACCATGTCGCAGAGCCGACCGCAGAGGGCGCCCGGCCCCGGAGGCCTGGCATCCCCCTGGGATCCCAGGGAGCACTGCAGAGCACCGCTGGCCATAGGCCGGGGCTGGAACTGGTGACCAAGTCTCGAGACCTCGGTGCGCACGGTCCCACCACCGGCTACAGCGCGCTCAGCCCTGTCCCAAGCCTGTTCGCTGACCTCACGCTGGCCGGGGCGGGGTCTTCGCACTGTAGGAAAGGAAACCAGCAACCAGCGCTGCCTCGGACCACAGAGGGCTGCACCGCACCAGCGCTGCCCCACACTTCTAACTTGTGCCATGGGGCGTACAGGGTACCCCTGACCCAGAGAGCCAGCGGGGAGAACTCGTGGCGAGCACAGCGATCACCCTTCGTACGTGCGCCGGCCGATTGCTCTGGCCCTGAGTGTTCGCTGTATACCTGAGACTGCCCTCTGGGGAGATGAGAGCCCATGGCACGCATTGGCACAGTGGTTGGCACTTTGGTGTGCATAGCCTTTTAGCTTCCTGGGTTCTCTCTTACCAGGACACATCTGATTGGTCAAGACTGTCAGCCTGTCGGGTGTGGTGGCACACACCTGTAATCCTAGCACTTGGGAGGCCGAGGCAGGGGATTTCAAAGTAACCTCAGGGCCAGCCTGAACTACATAATGATTGAAAGCCTGTCTCAAAAAGACAAAACAAAAACAAACTAAAAAACCAAAAACAATGACTGTTAACCCACTTTGAACTTCAATTTACATAACAAAGGCCTGTCTCAAAAGGTGAGGTTGTGCTGGCACCTGCACAGTCTCACCAGTGAAGGGCTCTTCCAAGGTGCCCTGGGCACCTTGCCTGCACCCTCTGGGTCCTGATCCTGCATTTCTGTTGTGAGCTTCACCTTGGATGTGTGTAACGCGAAAGAGACACTCATGTAGCAATTTTATTTCAGGATAACACTGGCTCCGAGGGCTGACCTGGCTGCCCATTTTTGTTCTTGAGAACCTTTCAGGAGGTTAGCGGCCCCAGAGAGATCCAGGGTGATACTGCAGGGGCCCAGGCCACCCCTCCCACTGCTGCCTGGATGGCTGTCCTTGCTGTGTCCTCATGGCCAGGGTCACACAAGAGAGAGAGCTTCCTTTTGCCAGCCAGGGGCTTTTGCCTACCCCATCTCCAAAGCCATTTTTATTAGTAATTTTTCTTGCATTTCAGGACACCATTTGGGGTTTGGGATCCTACCTGCCCCCGAGGTCCGCTGCTGTCCTTGCTAAGGGCTCTGCCTCCTCCCCACTTTTGCAGCCAGGGACCTCAGGAGCAGCCAAAGCCTGCACTCTTGGTAAAAGGAGAGTGTTCCGCTCTAGGAGCTGAGGAAGAGCCAGGGTCCTCTCCCCAGACCACGCATAGGGGCAGAAGCCACGGGGGATTGGGGGACTCTTTCTCAAGGTCGCACAGTGAGGCAGAGGAAGCAGGAAAATTTGCCTTGTTGAAAGGATATTTTCTAGTTAGGAGCCTCTTAGAGTCTATGGCAAAATCTCCATGGCCTGCTTGGCTCATGTGTCTCCCATGGGGTCTCTTCTGAGTCTGATTCCAGCCCTTGTGGTCATCACCGGTGACCTGAGATGGCCTCTATGGGCAGAGTCCTCGTGGCCCAGGCTTTGGAGGTCCAAGAGCATGGCGGTGGCATTGATGAGATCTGTGCTGCTCTGTGCGTGGACAGAGAGCGCAGCACCAAGGGCCACGTGCCTCAGGACAAGCCGCTCTTGGGTAAGAACCGCTCTTGTGGCTATGCTGACTGCTCTGGGTAGGTGAAGCTGTCATGGTTTAGACACAGACAGATCCTGCCCACCGAGGTCCCTCACCCTGGGAGTTAGATTCCTGTGTGAGTTCCCTCAAGCCACGGTGCCCTTTCTTGTTCTACACGCAGTGTGGCCAAGGCTGGGGCACTTGAGGCTTTTTCTAAGCCATCGGATCGGGTGGCATCTGGCCCATGGAACTCTGGGCCTCTGCATGGCTTAGTTTCTTAGGATACTTCCTTCAACCACGGCCAGAATATCAGGGCCAGCACAGTGTGGGCGGGGACAGAGCATAGGACCTGTGGGCCTCTCGCCTTCCTTTGATAACGCTTGGGGGATGTCCAAGGGCAAAGCAAGAGCCAAGGGCTGACCTCGCTGCAGGGCACAGGTCCCCACACCCACTGGCCCTGGGAGCCTCCGGTGGTGTGTGTGTGTGTGTGGGAAGGGCGGAAGGTGGCCAGAAGGTCAGGTGTGTCATGCAAATGAACAGAGGCCCCCAATGTAGAAGTGGCAAAGAAATCCTGTAAGTCTACTAAAAGAACCTTTTAAGCGATTTCAGAAAATAAATATTGCAAGATACTTTGCTTTACGGTGCCTATGGCTAAAAGATCAGTGTTGAGATGAAAGATTCATTTCATTTTCTGACCTTGGGACTTTCTCAGAATCAAAAGTAAAACATGGAGACATGGAGCATGCCTGTATTCCCAGCACTCAGGAGGCTGAAGCAGGAGGATTCCTGTGAATTTGAAGCCTGCCTGGGCTGAGGTGAGTTCAAGGTCAGCCTGAACTGTGTCTCAAAAAGACAAAACAAAGCAACAAAACCCACAAAACAACAACAAAAAATAATTTGCTACAAGGTATGTGAAAGTCTACTACAAACGTACTAATAAGAAAATAAATATTCAAACTCCTCATTCCTGTGATTCCTGGACTTTCTAGTCCCCTCCCCTCTCCCGGCTAACTTTTGGTGGCCAGGGCCTGCTGTAGGGAAGGAATTGGGGGATGTCACATCCAGGTAGGCATGGGGTATGTGTACCCCTGGAGGAGGAAGATGGGGATCTGCTGGGTTGAGATGAACCTGGCTTTGGAGCCTGGCTCCAGAGATGGGCCGTGGGGCTGTGAGCAAGTTATCAGCCTTCTGGGCCTCTGTAAAGAGGCAGCGAGCCAACCAATGTTCTTACCTCCACGGGCTGCCATGAGGACTGCAGGAAGGGCAGTGCCACATCATTACCCTTGGGGGCCGCCCGTTTACAGATCAAAGACAGGCCTGAAACATTAGGCTATCAGTCTAGGAGGCCCAGGGAGGATCCATCTAAGTAGCTCTGGGGACCTCAGATCAGCCATCTCCCCATCACTGGAGAGGCTGAGCAGGGTGCTGGGGAGAGGTCCAAGCAGAAATCACTCACCTTTAAAGAGACAGCAGGTTAGACATGGCACAAATAGACTCCATTCACATCCATAGAATCCTTTTACTTTTTAAAAACTTGTACAAAATAGTAGTAAAAAAAAAATGCAGATTGTAGCATCTGGGGTAGCAAATGGTATCGAAAGGCACACATTAACTTAAATGTCATCACAGGAAGTCAGGTGACCTTTTGGTAGCCATGGAGGAGGAAAAACAGTCTTTGGAGAGGACTCCCCACGGCGGTTAAGGTCATCATGCCCCACTTACTCATTCCTTGGGGATGTTTCTGCATAGTTATGGAAGAAATGCTTTCCTGACAGTGGAATCCAGCAGAAAGCTTGAATAAAAACCTGCCAGTTCCAGACAGCACTTTCCTGGTGATGCCAGCCCGTCATAAGCCAAGGCGGGGGAGTGGACTCGCCAGCCGTGTAACAGCAGGTGTGGTACTCACAGGCAGCAGATGTGGGATCAAGGTGCACCATTTTGGGTTTTATTTTTTTGGTCTTTTTGAGACCGGGTCTCATGATGCAGTTCAGACTGGCCTTGAGCTCACTTTGTAGTCCAAGCTGGTCTCGAACTTACAACAATCTTCCCGTCTCAAAGGCCTCCTGAGTGCTGGGATTACAAGCATGTGCCACCATGCCTGGCAAGATGCACCGTTTTATGGAGAGTCCATTACTATCTAAAAGACCTGTCTAATAGACTAATAGAGCTTGAGGTTCTATCAGAAGGGAACCAGATTTTCCGTGTCTGAGTTTGGAACCAGGCCTCAGAAATCAAGCTGGTGCCTGGGGGCTCCAGAGCAGCCCTGTCTAAGCAGAGACTTTCCAGAGGGTAGCTTCCTGCTAGGGGTTGGGGGGGGGCCCCGAGGGCTGGTCTACGTGGCTCCCAGACTTGCTAAGATTCCACTGGAAGTAAGACGGGGTCATCGGGGCCCTGGCCTGGCCCCCAGGGGTGCAATGGAAGAGAACTGGAAGTGGAATTGGAGCTCTGGCCTTACCCTTTCAACTCAGGTTCTTTGGGTGGCAGCGGAATGTCTCACATAGTAAAATGTGAGCTTTTTCCCTTTACTTCTACTCATGCTCTCCACCACTAACAAACCAAAGTAGAAAGCCAGTTTCAGGCGGTTGCTAAGTGGCTCATGCTCATGACTGAAGGCAGGTGACACAACAGAGGCAGAGGAGGAGGTCTGGGCCTTGCTTGTGTGTTATAAAGGCCTGAGGTCCTGAGGGACACGGCCAGGAGAACACGGGTCCCGGCAGTCCTTCCCCACCATGCAAACCGTGAGCTTGAAAGTCTCAGAGGGGAGGTCTGCTGGCTGTCCAGTGGCCAGCTGGGTGCAGCCCTCCCTGGACCATTGGCCATGGCTGGGAGATGGGTTTTATGAGCAGCAAACCACACCTGACTGCCCCAGCCCCAGTGCACAGTGGAAGCAGCTGAATGTGGATCCTGGCACCGTGCTGTCACCCATGCCTTCGAGCACTTTCATGTGTCACTGGGATCCCCAGGGCTGGAAAGGGGGCTCCGGGTGACAGCAATAGTGGGTGAGGAGCCGTGTGGCAAGACCAGATGGGTCAAAGGTCACCTTGGCGGATGTCACTGTAACAAAAGGGTGACCTCGAAGGCCACTGCCTTGATCTCTGTGCCAGCTGACACCAATAACATGCCTGCCCCCTCACCGCCTAGATCTCCAGGAACCAAGTGTGGTACAGAGGCTGGGGCGCACGCCTGCGCCGGAGGGAAGACCTGCGTCTTCATTCCTCAGTTTGTGACTTGGGCTTTATGCTCACTACACAGGATTTTCCCTTGTCTTTGACACTGACCGAGCAGTGGGGTCCCCGAACACAGGTCAGCTTCCAGCCAGTGCAAGGCGGAGCTGTTGTTGAACACCAGGTCTCGGCGACCCAACAGTGTTCCCTCTCCTCAGCTGCCAGCTGTGCCTGGAGGAGGCTGCCGCGTGGGGTTGCACAGTGTGGCCAGGACAGGGTGAGCTGCAGTGAGGCGGGGCCCTAGGGTGGACCTGGTGCCCACTGGTCCAAGCACACACCAGGCAGGTCCATGGCTCCACGGATTCCCTTTCCCAGGGAGGTCGAGACTGTCCGCCGAGGCCAGGCAGGCCCGCTGCATCAGTCCTGCCCACCCGTGAGTTTGTGAAACAGGTCCTCGTCGAGCGTCTCGTTCTGGTCCTTGGAGCGGGTGGACAGGAAGATGTAGCCACCGATGTACTCGTGTACCACCTTGCAGTCCGCGCTCAGGCAGGTGAACGCGATGGACACGTTCTGGTCAAACTCGATCGCCACCTGGAAGCGGAGGGCATGGGGAGGCTTTAATGCGGACAGAGAAGGGTGAGAAAGCGGTGCCTTGCTGTGCTGGCCCTGGGGATGAGAAGGCTGAGGTGGCTGGGAGGTGCCTGTGCCCCTACCACAGGGAAAACCTCTGCACCCTTGCCATTGAAACCAGGTCTTCGCTCTTTGCGCCCTCTTGTGGCGTCAACTTTGACTCGCATCTGGTAAAATATTCCCAGCAACATGTGCAAGGGTGACAGAAAAACATAACATGGTGGATTTTGTGTGTGTGTGTGTGTGTGTGTGTGTGGGGTGTCTTTTTGAGACAGGGTCTCACTATGCAGCTCAGGCTGGCCTTAAGCTCATTTTGTAACCCAGGCTGGTCTCAAACTCGCCATATTCCTCCTGCCTCAGACTCCCAAATGCTGGCTGGGATTACAGATGTGCAGGTGTGTGCCACCACAGTCGGCTTGGTGAATGTTTAAGTAAATAAAGTATCACAGTGAAAGACATATTGTCTTTTTTTGGTGTGTGACAAGTTTTCACTATGCAGTTCAGGTGGCCTTGAATTCACCTTGTAGCCCAGGCTGGACTCGAGCTTGCAGTGATCCTCCTGCTTCAGCCTCCCAGGTGCTGGAATCACACGGTGTGGGACCACACCCCACCATAGACATTTTGTCAAAAGGATGTAAGATAGGTGTGCTCAAAGTTAGGAGAAAGTATTTTGAGAATACTGAGGTGGTTAATGGCAATGTGTTTCTTACTGTAATTAATTTTTAAAATTTAAACATTCACTGTAATTTTTATCGCATCCCATTGATCAAACAAGTATGGCAATTTCTGTCCAATACAAACACTACAGTAGGTCCTCATCCACCTTACTTATCGGATCTGGCATTTGTGATGTCTAGCTCTTGCCAAAAGTCGAAATGACTTTTGAAAGGGAAACATTTTGAATTGATTCAGGGCATCCAGGCAGCCATGACAGCACAGCTAGACACTCACAAAAGAGGGCTTTGAAACTGCTTCAGGAAGAGGCGAGGGCAATGGGAAAAGTGTATTCAAATTGAGGGGGATTCAAGGCAATATGTCCTTTACTGCAATAATTTAACAAATATTCTCTATTTTTAAAGCCACACCTATTTTTTCTTTGTCCATCTGGCTATTTAGATACAGGAATGTCCCAGGCCTTCCTCTGTGGAGGGCACAGAGTTCTGCATACTCTGTAATGGAGAAGAAAATGCCGGCCTGAAATCTCCTTTAGCAATTGCCTTTTCCAAAGTGAAAGTCATAAACCCTAAGCAAGAAATATCAGTGATTTTCTTTCCCATTGGAATCACCATGGAATTCTCAAAACAACAATGCCCAGCCCCACTGGAGATAACTGAGCTAGGGCTTGGTCCAGGAAATCTTAAAACGTATCATGGTTTTACAGCTGCTGCATTAGGGGACATACGATCTCTGACCTTTTTTCTACAGGTCCCCAGGTTCTGCTGAGAGGGATCCAGAGTCCTTAAGAGAAAATTGTAAGCCAGGTATGGTATCACATGATGTAATCTCAGTATTCTGGGAGGCTGAGGCAGGAGGACTGCATGTTTGAGCCCATCCCGGGCAACTCAGAGACTTAGTAGGATCTATTGCAGAATAATCTGCAGTTCTGGGGGAACACACAGTTACAGGCACAAACCTAAATACACTGGTCTGGAAGTGCAGTGCAGTGACCGAGCATCTGCCTGGGGTATGCACAGTCGTGGGTGCCATCTCAGCACTGCGGAAACAAAATCAGAGAAGACACTGAGTCTCAGAAACAATATCGTACCTGCCGGATTTCCCAGTTGACATTCCACTGCTTCATATTGGTGAATCTCCACGTTGTACTTGGAATCCCAGTGACTGCGTCGATTCTGATCAACCTATTGTACGAAACTCCCAGAATGTCGTCTTTCTTGAATCCCTTAAATCTGAAAATAATACTGATTCAGAGAAGCAACTGTCCATTCACATACAACCTCTTAAAGAGTGGTGGACATGTCTAAATTATTTCAGAAGGAAGGACATGCGGGACCAGCTTCCAGCACAAAGACTTTTTACTGCGATAAGGAGATGGTGAAGAGCACAGGTGCTGCGAAGATACTCATGGAGTGAAACCGATCTCAGAGGAAAGCGGAACTAGGCACAGTCAAATCAACCCACTGAAACTTAGCACAGCTCTGTGACCGGGCACCTTCCTGGGCATGGGGGCGCACATGGTGGACTGCACAGGAGAAAGACTCCTGACTGAGGGTTAGGGTGAGGATCATGGATAAATGAAATAAACTCTGGAAAAGACGATGAAAGGGTGGAAGAGTAAGAAGCAACTCATCACGAGCCCGCTGAGCTTCACCGCACTGCAGTTTAACAGGCCAGGACTTGCTCTGTGTCTCTGGGTTCTCAGCAGGGGCAGTGCCCGCTGATGCCCAGGCTTGGGGAGTTGAGTAGAAATGCTCAGGGCCACAGCACTAGCAGAGTTAGAGAAGGGACTGGATCCCTGGCCTGGCTGGTTCAAGTGTCCACGTTCTTTCCACTGTTGGGGGCTGGCTTCAGAATTACAGGAGAGCTGGGTGTGCTGGTACACACCTGCAATCCTAGCACTTGAGAGGCTGAGGCAGGAGGATCACCAGGAATTCGAGACCAGAGTGGGCTACATAGTGAGTTCAAGGCCGGCCTGGAATCCATAGGGAGACCCTGTCTCAAAAAACCAACCAACAAAAAAGGAGTTGCAGGTAAGCTATACATGTACGAGTGTACACAAGCATTTGTGGGTGTCGAGCACAACTCTGTCCTCTCTTGCTGTTTTCCTGGGGTAAACAAAGTAGAAAGAGTTGCTTGTTTGGGACAAACCCCCGAAGGCAGAAGTTAGGTGACGCACATTAGTGAGTGGAAAGTTCTGAATGAACGCTCCTGTTAGCAGAGGTTAGAGGAAGTGATCTTTGACAGAGAGGCAAGAAAACAATGCGAACTTTACTTCTGTGTAAGCTGATTCAAGGCAACGGATGGACCACCAGCGGACATCATCAGAGTGCGCTGGACAGAGGCTGAGTGGACGCGGCAGGGCTGGTAGGGATTCTGTGAAGCCACACCATGAGACGTGAGGGGCACACACAGCTGACACAAATGAAAGCCAGAGGTTTCCTGAATCAGGAGCTGATGCTCTCCGCTGGCTTTTGGGAGCTGTGCTAAAAGAGTAAAATCTCCTTTGGAGATCTGAACGCTTCTCTCTGCACCCCGAGCTGTTCAGGAGGTGCCGGCATTGGAACGGCAGGCCTGGGAGATGTTTAGAAGCAGGCTGGAGTGAAAGCGCAGTATTCTAAAAGAAGAGTTCTGCAGTCTGGATGGAGAAGAAATGGGGATTCCGGAAGCCACCCCGAATCGAGCGGACGTGGGAGAGGCGAGGGAAGGTCGCAGTCACCTGACCAGGTAGTAGGTGAGGCCGAACTCCGGTAGGGACTGCCAGGCCTGAATGAAGCGCAGCTTGGCTTCAATAAGGGACATCTGGGCCACGTTCTGGTGCGCTTCCAGGATCCGGGCTGCCAGCTGAGGGGGAACAGGAGACACCGGGCTCTCCTCAGTGTTCACGACGCTTTGTACCCGTCCCCGCAGCCCCAGGGCCCCAGTGAGAACAGAACTGCTGCCCCACTGCAGTTCTCCAAAGACAGTGCGTTCTCTCTCCCTCTCTTTCTCTCTCCCTCTCTTTTTCTAGAAAACATGAAAAGTCACTGGGGAGAAGGAACATAGCCAGTGCACAGGCTTTGAATAGTTCTGGGTCTCTTTCTCAGGTCTGTGGAAGGCTCAGAGACTGGGGTTCTACTTGAATAAAATCATCTTCCCAACATTTAACCCATTTTTAAGTAATAATTTTAATTGGTAGGCATTAAAATTTTTATTCTTAATTTTTTTTTGAGACAGGGTCTCATAGTGTAGTTTATGTTGGCCTCGTATTCACTACGTAACCCAGCCTGGCCTCGAATTCATAGTGATCCTCCTGCTTCAGCTTCCTGAGTGCTGGGATTTCGGCTGTGTGCTATCACACCTGGCCATGTGACTCATAATTAAGCTCATAGTGAAGCTGGGACCATGAGCATGTCCAGGCAGCCCTGCGGTCACCGCTAAGGACAGTAACCACCGTTCTATGGGATCACCTGATGCACAATGCACCGTCAGATTTGCATGATAATGGCTTGAATCCAATGGAGTTTTCCTTTTATTTCAGAACATAAAGAATTTATGCAAACTGTGGCCCCAGTAGGACAGCAGTACCTGTTTAGACTTGTGCTTTTTTGCACACCGAGGGGACACAAAACATTCTGGGTTCATGTCCATGCTTTCGGGACTAGAAGCCACGTCAGACGACGAGTTGCGGTTCTTCATCCTCAGAAATGAGAGGATGTTGAGGACCTCGGGCTGGTAGGAGCTGTCTGCCATGGTTTTGCCCTTGGATGCCAAGACACAGGCAGCCATCCACCGGGCATACTGATTCTCCTGCAAAGAACGCCAGAGGGCTGAGAAGTGGAAGTTCGAGCTTAAAGCCACCTGGTCCCAAGCACAGCAGGCCTGGGGCTCCAAAACACAAAGTCACCTTGGAAGCAAGGAACAGTGTGAGCGACACATGGTCTCAGCGCCGCTAACTGAACTGGGACACCCAACAACGGCTTTTGAGGGCTGTGTCATACTCCTAGATGCTATGGGGTTAGAGAACTAGAAACCAGCTTCGATCCATTCTGTATAGGAAACTTTACATGTCAAGATGACCAAGCACACAAAGGAACACAGATGAAATTCCAGATTACCAGACAGCCTTTCTACAACATGTTTCTATTTTCATATCTTTCCTGACCTCTATGACAAAAGCAAACAGTAAAAAAACTTGCCAATCAGTTTCCTGCATTATATGTACCCTGGTTTATCTTCAATCCTGAGGACTGAATGCAGGACTTTTTCACTGAGTAACAATACCAGCCCCTTTTTATTTTGAGACAGGTCACATTAAGTTACTAAGTTGCCCAGACTGGGCTGGAACTTGTGATCTTCCTGCCTCAGCCTCCCAGAATCCTGGGGTTATAGGACTTCAGAGAGGGAACAGGCACAGTGGTCAACAGCTGAACAGAAGAATTCCTCAGAGTAGCAGGTGGTGGCACACTGAATTCCTGGCATCAGTCTTTAGTGTCCTGCTACCACACGGTCCCATGTAATTTGCAGCTGAAGTCCCTGAGACAGAGTGTAATTCCTGGCCCTTCATTTCCACCTACACCGTTGATTGCTGTGGCCAATGGTGCATGAGTGAAGATCAAGCCTAACCTTCGGGAGGCCCACGCCTGTGGCCCGCTGCCCTCTCATACTTCTATCTCTATGATGAGAGCTTCCTGCAGGCAGCCTGAGGCCCAGAAGAAAGAAAATCAGCTCAACTTGTGGCAATGGCAAGGAGATGGGTTCTTTGTCTCAAAGCAGATCTGACCAACTGACACCAGTGTGGAACAGCAGAGGCCCCAGCAACCTGCAGATCTTTCAGAAAAGAACTGATGTTGAATGTATTTGTGAGTTTATCACACTGTTACTGTTTGTTACACAGTAGTAGCTGACTGACATAACAGTGTTCAAGTTTGAGAAAACACCATACCCATGGTGCCTGGTTTATCATTGTTTAATTTATGATTTTTAAAAAACTATTATGGTATAAAAGTATACCTATATATAACTACTGTGTATCACTTGCAGTACAGTCTTCAATCAAGTATAAAGACCTTTAATGCTTTTTCATATAATAGACTCTTTGATTTTTCCCAGCTCTATATAATAGAATATAATAATTCATATAATAGACTCATGATTTTTCCCAACTCTAAGTTAATATAAGTGTGTTGAGCATGTTTAATTAAGGCAGGATAAGCAGGCGTGTTTGAGGGTGAGCTGTATTCAACACATTTTTGACTTTACAGTAATTTCAGTATTCAATGGGTTTATTCTTAGCAGGGTGGTGCACATCTGTAATCCTAGTACTTGGGAGGCTGAGGCAAAAGGATCGTATTGAATTTGAGGCTAGCCTGGACTACCTATCAAGAGTCTGTCTCAAAAAACAAACAAACAAACAAACAACAACAACAAACGGGTTTATGCTTACTCTTAAGCTTAATAAAGTCAAAAAAAAAAAAGAGGCTTAATCAAGGCGCCTGACGGCTTTTAACTTTACTTACATTGTCACATCTCAGGTACACTTCGTTCATACCATCCGCGACAGGGATTAGTAACTTGATTCCAAATTTTCTCCCTGCTACATTCACATCTGGTACAATTTCACAGCCTGAAGGGCAGAAGGCAAAATGGACCTGAGGAATCTGTTCTGTGAATATCTAGGACACATCCAAAATAGACTGTTTTTTCTTTTGCTACTGGGAATTGAACTCAGGACCTTGCACTTGCCAGGTAGGTGCTTTTGCCTCTGAGCTAGATCCCTGTCCCAGAATAAAGACTTTAACAAATATATAATTTGGTTCTCTTCTGAAAAACGGAGGAAGAAGTGCCAACATCAAAGGAAAACTAAGCAAGATTTAGGACCAAGTATCATGGATAAAGAAAATGATTTTCTTGTATAAAAAGGAAAACTACTGAATTCATTTTTCAGAATGATACTGGCTGTCCTAACTTTTGGGAAGAATTCTGAACTTTAGAAGAGGTCAAAGCAGAGTTCATCCTCCGATGGCCACAATGACAAAGTGGAATGTTGGTTAAATGTTTCAGCAGACAGAGGGTCCCTCCCCCCATGCGGGGCACTCACAGTTGATACATGATACATAAATGTTCTTGGCTCTTTTTTCTTTCTCGGGGTGCTGGGACTGGAACCTCACATATGCTAAGCACTTGCTCTACCACTGAGCCACACCTCAGCCCACACACAGCTAGCTGTTCTTGCACTCAGAAAGCTCAAGGTTTTACAGGGCCCCGTGTGCTACACTTCTGGACACAAAGTGCCCCCTCTTCCTGGACTCCAGACACACTGGGGAGAAAAGAGGGAAGAATGAGAGCAACACACTCTCTGTACCACTTCCGGGGCCCACACCCCACGGGGAAAGGAGCTGCCACTGAAAGTGGGGGTCTGCGGGCTCCCCAGGCAGCCCTCACCCACTGGCAGGACGCTGGTCTCAGGCTGCCGGCTGAATCCTGAGAGGCCCTAGGGAGAAGCCCACAGGCTGCTCTTACCTTTGAGGTTGAGTTTTTCTACGGGTTCTCCTTGTTCAAGTTCCTTGTTTTTGAAGTAGGCTATCGATGTGTCTTTAAAGACGAACCAATATGGTTTGAAAGCTTTTAATAACAGCTTCTTGGGCCTGCAAATTAAACGACAGTAAACCTTCAAACCACGGCCCAGAACTGCAGAGCACAGTGCAAACTGTGGGCAGTTCAAGGCGCTTCAGGGTGGACAACATGTTATTTCTGTTTATGAAAAGAATCTGCAAATTGCTAAGTCACATCTTTTGGGGGCTGAGGACGGTACTGGGGATCCCACCTGGGGTTCTGGTTGCTGAGCCCAAGCTCTACCTCGGAGCTACACCCCAGTCAGCTAGCTCATGTCTAAAAGCCAGGCTCATCTGGTACCAGATGTGTGCCAGCTGTTGCTACTCGATGCAGAAGTTAACACACAGGCTCCTGGTGCTCCGCCACTCTGCCTGCCTGGCCTCATGGCCACCTCTTTGCAGACGGCCAGCAGCGGTCTTGAACTCGAGCACAGTTCTTGAGAGGATGGAAGGGGCCATGTGTGTGGCATGTTTGTCACAGTGCCTGGCACACTGAAGCGCTACACAGCTTCCTGAGATCTGTCTGGGAGACCTGTGTGACTCCGGTAACATCTAAAACCTCGCATGCTTCCTGGATCTGGAGAGATGTTGCTGATGTGAAGGGCACAGCCCAAGTCTCAAGATGGCAGGAAATCTTTCCTGCTACTTCCGCTGAAGCCTTAGGAGAAGTCACCACCAAATTCCCAAGGAGCCGTGGAAGCCTCCAAAATCCCACTGCTAAGCTCTAGTGACTCTATTGCTACTAAGAAAAAGATTTGCGGAAAGCTATCCAACAGCGGATGCTGCAGAACCCGAAACTGTGTTCTGAAGTACACACAGTTGGATGCCAACAGCAGGTCTCAAGGTTGCATTATTCAATACAGCAAGTGTGGGCAAGAAGTTAGGAAAAAGGACACAGACAGGGAGAGAAAAGACAGAGGAGCTAGCCAGGCGCTCAGAAGGCTGAGGCAGGAGGATCACCAGTGAGTCTGAGGCCAGCCTGGCTTACAGAGTGTATTCAAGGCCAGCCTGAACTGCATAACAAGACCCTGTCTCAAAACTCAAAACAAACCGCAAGCAAATAAACAAACCAGCGCGGAGCAGGGTATCTACACTGGGGAGGGGCCTGTTCCCAGGAACATGAGAGAGCGACTCTGCCTGGTTAATGCTCTTGCGTGGAATTCTGGGCGCATCTTGTGGTCTGTCAGCACTAGTATGCCCTTAGCTTAAAATGTGTTACCTCAGCACAAAGATAAGAGAGAAGGTGATCTCATTAAAACAAACAAACACACACAAGGTGTTTCAGACAAATATCACATGAAAATGATGGAAGAACGTCACAGGGAGATAACATGTCCAAGATTAAGAATATCTCTGCACTTATCCTGAGAGCTGCAAGTTAACATAACTCAACAGACACTAGTTAAAACATTGTTTGTCTAATACTCAATTATCAGAAAGTGATAGTATTTTCAAAATAAAATATGAAGACAGCCTATAACCGTAGGATGTGGGTTGCAAGGTCTCGATCTAGCTGTGGGCATTAAAATGTTTCTCTTTAGCTTTAGGCACCGAATCCCCCAGGCCTTGTTAACTGGTCCAGGATACCTAAGAGGGGCTGGGATGTGCTCCAGGTGCCTAAGTAGATTAAGGGGACAATAATTACTGCTTCTGTATTCCAGAAGCTGGGGCAGGTGGGGCTGGCGGACGTACAAATAGGGAGTGGAAGAGATGGGAGAGGGGGATGATTTGTGTAGGAGCAAGGTGTCTCTAGGATGCTCAGAGGGAGACCAAAATCAGTGCGGCGGGGGGGGGGGGGCAGCAAGCCAGCTGGGTAGGCGGCGGACAGTGGGGAGTTCAGAGGGAGTGCGGTTAAACTAAGAACAGAGGAGGGAGAAAAAGTACTGGAAGAGCATGGAAGAGCAAGGAGAGATTTCTGAAGGTGGCGCTGGCCCATGCAAAGTGTGAGGTGAGTCGGAGCCCAGCAGTTTATATTGCAAGAGCTGAGTTAGTTTGTGTGTGTACACACATGAGCTATTGGGGGTGGAATCCAGGGCCTCTGTGCTGAGATAATTTCCCAGCCCTTTCCATTTATTTAGTTTTTAAATTTTGAGGCATAAGAGGCTACATTGTCCAGACTGTGCTTAAACTCATGATCTTCCTTCCTTCCCAGAAGGGTGGGGTCACAGGTTACGGGTGTGCACCAGCATGCAAGGCTTCAGAAGCTCCTTAAACAGCTGCCTCAGGCTAGGAGCTGTGCCGAGTCACAGAAATGCAGGGAGAGGGTGGTTTCTGTGGCTGCAGCTTCCCCAAACACGCGTAATGCCTGTGACCAGAACGGCAAGATAGTGGAGTATGTGGATTCAGGCCTACGACCTCAGCACATGGGAAGCTGAGGCAGGAGGATCAAGATTGTGAGGCCAGCATGAGTCTGGACTATGCACCAGGATCCTATTTCAAGAAAAAAATAGCAAGAAGAAAGGAGGAGGCCCACGTGAGACTCTGCTAAAGCTAGACTTCATTTTTCAGAAGGCTGCTGCTCATCAGAACTGAGAGGGAACTTGCTAGAGAGAGCCTGAGCCCCAGATATGTGGGTTCAGCAGGTGTAGCTTGGGGTCCACTTCTCAACTATGGGTAGGCACATTTCATCTTTAAGATACAGTGAGACTCTGCCCCTCATGTGTACCACATAACCAGCTGTAAATTACACCATTGCACTGGTTACACACTGTCAAACCTATACAATATAAAGATTTCAATCATTTTCAATATTGCCTGTGTTCCTTTATTATACTTTTTAAGTTTACTTAAAGAATCTAAGCAGACTGATTTTATGGCTCTTTTACTGACTTTTCTCTTGTGTGCTAGGCCGGCATCCCGTAGGGTGGTACGTGAACTCACACAGTTGTAATTTTTATTGAAAGCAGGGCATGATAGAACGATGGTAATCCCAGCATGCCAGGAGGCTGAGGCAGGAGGATCATTTGCATTGAGATCAACCTGGCTTAGAAAGTGAGCCCAAGGTCAGCCTGAACTGCATAGTGAGATCCTGCCTAAAACCAAACCAAACCAAACCTTATTTTTCAGGGGCTTACTGTTTTCTGCAGGGAGCCCCAGGATAAGTGCTTGTAAATATTTTCCTCTGGGTATTTTTGCAACTGCATACAAATGTAGCTAGGACTTCCCTGGTTTTGTAGTCCTGGACAGGTTTTATATCACTTCGCCAGGTTCCCCAGTCACATAAGACGTTTAAGTTTCTATGTACATCTGAGCTTCGCATAAGCCTTGGCTCTGGTTTCTCAAGAAAGATTTTTCATTTTCCCACAGATGCCAACTCTGGGGCAAACCTCCGTCCTGCTTCCTCTGGAAGACGGCAGTTTTCTGTTCCTGCTAAGCCCTAAGCAGACGCAGCCTCCAGGCCAGTTTCGACCTTCAGACGGTGCTTTGGTGTGGCCTGTTGCTTTATCACTTCCTATCCCGGCACAGAAATCCAACCCCAGCCCCAGCCCTGAGGACCTAGATCCCTGCCTCAAGTCCCTCTGTGTGGCTGAGACCTCACTCCTGGTAGCAGCTTCCTGAAAGTCGAGCCTTCTCGGTTTCACTCTGTGACCAATTCCACACTACACTTCTTTCCTTTTCACCCAGCACTCACGGCTATTTATCACAGCAGAGTTAGCACTGCCCGGAACAGAGAGCCCGCTGTTTAGACAGTAAATTCAACAGACTTTGTTGTGTAACTCCCTGTACCGATAAAAAGACAAAAGAGCTTCACTGAAAAAGAAAAAAAATCAACGCCCAAGAGTCCAATTCTCATGTTGATGAGGAGCAGGGAAACCAAAGGAGCTCTAGGTTCCTGGTCCTCGTCCTCCCTTCTGGCTTCCCCTCCTTCCCTTTCAGACTTGTATAATCACACCAAGCCACTGGGCAGCGGAAGCCCCGAGAGGTGGACACCATATCTCACCTCCTTCCTCCTAACATCTCAGCACCTAAGGGAAAGCACACTGCCACGATGTGGTTTATGAAGAGCCGGATCTGCTCTGTGCAGAGAAACCGACCCGATTTCTTTGTGGAAAGATTACAAATATTTTAGAAAGGTGACACATAGTGGCTTCAAGGTGTTGCTACTTTTTGGTAGCTTTGACTGTAACAGTATGAGCCCATTATATTTACAACTATGTACGCCATCGGAATTAAATTAATGACCCTAGTACTGTCTGTGAGCTTCTTTCCTATAAGCACATTAAAAGTCTGGTACAAACAAACCCAGTGACAAATATCGTTCCTTAGAATCTGTGTTTCCCATTTATACCTGACTCATGGCCGGGTCTTGCAGTCTGTATTAGCCAAAGCAACCCCCAAGGAAGTGCCGGTTTAAGAAAGTCAACAAACTGTTAAGTGAGATAAATAACTGATAGGACTTCAAAGACCCTTTTTCCTTTCATCCCAACACACCCAGGGAGGCCCAGCCCTCTCTTTCCATGAAAACAAAAGCCTCTTTACCATAGAAACCGCCCCCCCCAGCAGGTGAAAGTAGATACCCGCAAGGTGACACTCCCCTCCAGTCTTAGACGTTTTAGAGACAAGCAAATTCTCACATTGCCATAGAGCCAGCAAATGCTGTCAGAGCCCCGAGCCTCCCAGAGGCTCCTCTTGGCGAACTCCAGTCTGGGGCTTACTCATTATTGTTCACTCTGGTCACGTTTGCTGTCACCATTTAATGAGCACATTGTATGGGCCATGTTAAATGCCTCATAAGCACCATCTTTTTCATCCACCTGCAAGGCTTTGTTATGAGGACCTCCCCTTCCCTTAAAGATTACTTACTTACCTAAATAACTTGAGGTTATCTGAAAGTGTAGGGATGTCAGTAATGTCCTCCTAAGGAAAAACACAACATTTCAGACACATGGAACTCCTACGTGATGTTGATACCCTAACCTGTGGTGTGCAACATGGTAGCCAAGTGCGGCATGGAGTTATTTAAATCCAAATTATTCAAATAAAATAAAATTTAAAAAATCAGAAATTGTTGCCGGGTGTGGTGGCTTAGCCTGTAATCCCTGCACTCGGGAGGCTGAGGCAGGAGGATCCTTGCAAGTTCGAGACCAGCCTGGGCTACAAAGTGAGCTCAAGGCCAGCCTGAACTGCATAGAGAGACCCTGTCTCAAAAAAGACAAAAAAAAAATCAGTCATTGTGCCAGGTGTAGTGGTACACGCCTGTGATCTCTGCACTTGAGCTGAGGCAGGAGATCACTGTGAGTTTGAGGTCAGCCAGGGCTACATAGTGAGTTCAAGGCCAGCCTGCACTACATGGCCAGATCCTGTCTTAAAAAACAAAAACAACAACAACAACAACAAAAAAACAAAAACAAAACAAACCAGTCATTGCAGGGCTGGAGTAAGCAGGGATGACTTGGCAAAGTTCTTCGACTTGATTTGGGTGGAAACATCGGGGAGAACTCAGTACTCTTTCATTCACCTGCATATATGTATCTTTTTCATTTTTTTCTGTATGCTTAACATTCCCTGTACCTGCCATACCAGGTAAAAATCTAAATTAGAAATGCTTACTTGTATTTACAAGCCAACTCTTTTCTTGCAATTTTTACATTAATGTAGGCCACTCTGGCTACATCTAGGTCACGGAAGAGGAATCCGGTTCAAAGTTCACTCTGCAATGTAAGTCAGGCCTGTTTTCAAATTGAAGCCTATTGTTCAGGGCCATATAAAAATATGAGGGAAAGAGGAGGGAATTTTTCATTTAGTCTCTAATTTCCTGGAGCTCACGTCTCCGATAAACAGGGCTCTGAATTTCTGCAGCACCTTTGCATTTAGCTTGTACCTAGTATTTGCTCTTGCGTGACACTACTTTCATATTCTAAGGTATTTTTTTTTTTTTTGTCTTTTTCCTTTTTATCGGTACCAGGGATGGAACTCACGACTGCCTGCTTTCAAGGTAGGCGCTTATGCCGCTGAGCTAAATCCCCAGCCCCTCTAAGGTATTTATCGATAAGAGAACACTCAGAAAATGCTCAGGGGTAGAGTGACTCATTCTTGTCCATTATTACTGTTTAGGTTTGTTTACAGTGGATCTGCCCCTGATCCAGCCCGTGATTAAGCCCACCATCACCCCCCCCCCCCCGAAACAGCAGGGTGGCTCCCAGTGCGGGACTCAACCTGCCTGGGTGAGGAGCAAAGGGCAGGAAGTTTTTCTTTAGGTTTTATTGGAAGTTTTAAAAACTTCTTTCCTGAATGAAAAGGGTTTTGGAATGTTGGCCAATACTCTAGGCTCATCCCATAAGAGCATATTTGTTTTTTTCAAAATCAGATGGAATATATTTTATTTCTCACTTTAAAAAGTTCCCCTGTTCTTCTGTCAGAACAAAGCCAGGAGCCCGAGTACACAGAGAATTCCCTACCAGAGTGCTGTCCGCCTTGCCACCTTCCAGGGTCACTTCTAAATTAGAAAGTGCAGCTTCAACTTCATCCACCTCAGACTCCTTGGTGCAATCCTGAGTTTCCGTGGACAGTGACAGTTTGCTGATGTGATACTAGGTGAAGATGTGGGTTTCAGAAATCATTATAAACACACACAGACCCACTGGCTGCTCCGAAGACAGTGCCCCTGAGATCTTGAACACCACCCCGCCTCCACGACCTCCCACCTGCGTAGGGAAAAGGGATTTAAATCCCGACCAGCCCTCCGTCCAGAGCAGGTCAGGTTTAGACTCGGTCCTTCCCCATCAGGCACTTGGCGTCTGAATACTTCCCACCGCGTGTGCACAGGTGTGAACTGTGACAAGTATTTTAAATTTAAATTTACTTGTTTCTTTTCATTTTGTTTTTATCAAAAGAAAAAAAGACAGTAACAAAGAGCAGGAGACTTTGAGCAGGGTGAACTCTGTGTCTCCTTGCAGAGAAAAGGTAGTAAGTTTCCATACCTGGAGAGCTGCGAAGATCAACATTTCCTCCTCTGTGCAGTCGATCTCTTCCAAGAGCACAGCCCACCTGGCTTGTTCGTAGAGCTGGTTTATTCTGACAACATCGTACTGCAGGAAGAAACACATGTGTGTGTGCGTGCGTGTGTGTGTGTGTGTGCGCGTGTGCACATACGGGGATGTGCTCGTATTCCACAGTATAAAACCCCTGGCATACCTGAGGCCATGTTCTGTGAGTGAGATGCACTAAACTCATTCAGGGAGCCAGAAACCTCACCCCATCTGTCTATTGCCCCGGCTTATTTTACTTGTGAATTCAGACCTTCCTTTTGGTGAATATTTTCCAGAATTCCTTTAAGGGGCCAAAACGAACCAACTTTGACTCCATTATTTTCTGTCTTTACCACATTTCTGTGGTAGTAAAACCAGTGAGCAAAAATGCTTTAAAAATGGTAAGTAGTATAAAAATAGGGGATTCCAGATTGATTTATGAAGGCAGTGTAATCTCAAGCAAAATCTGATAGGGATTTTTATTTATTGATTTATTTGGCACCAGGGACTGAACTCACAACCTCAGGCTTGCCACATAGGTGCTTGTGCCACTGAGCTAAATCCCCAGCCCTGATAGGGATTTTTAAACGAACTTTGTGCCTGCCGATGTTCAAGTTAATGTGGAACTGATAGCGTTCAGAAATTGCCTGGGCTGGGGATTTAGCTCAGCAGCATAAGCGCCTGCCTTGCAAGCAGGCAGTCGTGAGTTTGATTCCCAGTACCGATAAAAAAAAAAAAAAAAAAAAGAACAGTGTTGGGAGTAGCAGTTATTCTTACAGACCTTAAAGCATATTATAAAACTATAGAAATTAAAAAAAAAACTATAGAAATTAAAATAGCATGGTATTCCTGGAAACTCAAGGAACAAAAAAAAAATAGCATGGTATCAGGATAGCACAGGCAAAGTCTCAACAAAGCAATATCTGGAAAGAGACCTATATATAAATATTCAATTTTATATTTTATATCTGTAAGGAATGAAAGAATTCAACATTGGATGCAGTGTTGAAAATGCCTAGTTATTTGGGGAACAAAAATTTCAGAACAGAACAAAAAAATATCACATGATCCAAAATATACATGTAACCAGTGAGATACCACTTCAAACCCACCATGTTGGCTCATCAGAACGCACAACCAGTGTGGGTGAGGGTGTGAAAATGGAACACTTGTGCACTTTTGGATGTAAAATGGTGCAGCCTCCAGAGAAAAGCGGTCAGTAGTTTTTGGAGAGATAAACATGGAGATGATCCAGCAATTCCACTCCTAGTTGTACACCCATGAAAACAGGTGTCAGAAATTCAAACAAATACCAGTGCAGTGATGTTCACGGCAGCATTATCTACCATAGCCACAGAGTGGAAGTGTCCCAACGTCCACCAAGGACTGAGTAGATAAAAGGTGAGATGTAGCTGGGCCTAGTGGTGCACACCTGTGATCCCAGCACTCGGGAGGCTGAGGCAGCGGTTCAAGACCAGCCTGAGCTACATAGTGAGAGCCTGTCTCAAACAAAACAAAACAAAACAAAACCCAAGAAACAAACAAAAGATGATGTGGGGATACATTTAGGCACATGATAGAATGTTATTCGGCCTTAAAAGGGAACAAAATTCTGACACATGGAACCTGGAAGCCATTTTACTAAGTGATATATCATGTAATGTATATATCATGATACATATGAACTAGGTAGAATAAGCCGATTCACACAGACAGGGAGAAGGATAGAGTTTACCGGGGCTGCAAGGAGGATTTGTTATTTAGTGAGTGAACAATTTCTATTTGGGATGATGGGAAGGCTGTGGCAGTGGGCAGTGATGACAGTTGCATGACACTGTAACTCTGCTTGGTGCCCTGAATTACCAGCTTAGGTCTCTGGTCCCAAAAGCCTGTGCGCATGCATACTTTGCTGGTATAAATATATTTTAAAAACCAAACTTGTGCATGGATGTTCACAGCGTGACTCATAACAGCCACCAAGTGAGAACGCCAGGTGGCCCCTGGGCACCCGAGGGCCTGTCACTCAGTGCTTGTTGTCTGCCCTGGGCCATTTTGCAGGGGACTGCAGCTCTCGCCTGCCTGGTGACACGAAGCAGAGGCAGGGCGGGGGCTCACAGCAGCATTTATTCCCCCCTTGTTATTCGTCCCAATAAACTCTAGGTGGTCCGTGCACCCTGAAAACGGAGCTGGCAACCAGCCGGGACCTCTTTGTGTAGACACCCTTTTCGAGTGTGAACCTGGCCTCACCCTGACTCCACAACTTCTTTCCCTCCCAAGCACTGAGGGCTCTGGTTGGGGAGCAGCTCAGCCTGCTCTTCCTCCCGGAGATGTAGGCAGCAGCACTATACAGAGGCCTCAGGAGTTTCCTCCAGCCTCGGGGTGCTGACTGTGCCCACCAGGCCCCATGGGGGGAGGAGGGGAGAATCAGAGCCCAAGTGCATCAGCCTTGCCCTGCAAGAGGCCAGAGACCACGCCAGCCGGTGGACCTAATCTGATAATAGAGTGACTCGATTGTGTACTTGATGGGAAGAAAGGGGGGGAAAGGGAAAGGAAAAAGCTTACTTTAGGGTTCAAGTCAAAGAAACAGTAGTATTTAAAGCGCAGCAGGAGCTGCTCATCCTCCCGGATGCCTTGTTCCATGAGGGAGCGAGAGGAATCCAGCCACCTGGAAGACAGCAGGGTGTAAGGCGCCAGTCACACACACAGTTCCACGTATGGGGTCTTTGTTCTTTTGAGATAGGGTCTCACTATGTAGTCCAGGCTGGCCTCAAACTCACTGCAATCCTCCTGCCTCAGCCTCCCGGGTGTCAATATACGTTTATATTGTTTAATATATTTGTGCATGGTATCCTGAAAGGCAAAACTGGCACTATCCCCCAAATCAGTAAGCATACAGTAACAGCTTATATTTGTATGTAACCTAGTTCTAAAGTTTCATTTTGTATATAGTATACATTTGCCTGCACGTATACAATATTTATATATAAATTACATAGACGGTGGTGTCTCAGTTCATGAACTTAATTCTTCTCATGATTCTGGTTACAAACCGAATTCGATGAGAACCAAATCAAATTCAACAATTAGGTTTGATGTTGACCTCATGGGAAATTGGATTTGGCTGTCATCCAATTAGGTTTGGGACCAGAATCATACAAAGAATTATGTTCGTGAACTAAAGCATGGTGGATATAAATTATTATTAACATGCTGAAGTAAGGCCCCGACTTCCCGCATGGTCTCCCCTTGGTACCGGGTGGCTCAACCCAGAGCAAATTTCCGCCCTGAGGGAAGTCTTCAGACCTGTGCCATCCACCATCTGGGTCTCTGGGCCCCTAGCTGCCTGCAGTTGTCTAATATTTAAATGTGCTTAATGCCACGTTTTAATTTCAAATAATTTAAGTCCAAGTTTAAATGCAGATAGTCACAGGTGGCTGGGGCAGTGACATGTTAGAGTTGGATAGTAAGAATGAGGTAATGGTGAGGAGCTTAAGGCCTGAGGGTTTGTTCTCTTAGGCCTGGCTAGCTGACAGTCCTGGGGGAGCTCCACCTTGTGACAAAGCAGCCTCAGGACCCTGGGGTGAGCCAAGGGCTAGCCTGGAACAGTTGGAAAGTATCTGGCTTTGGTGACACAAAACAGAGAGGCTCATGGCTGGGCTTTAAGGCATGAGGAGAGAAGCAGCAGCAGAGAGGATGAAGGGGGCAGAGTTAGGAGCCCGAGAAACAGGGAGAGGGAGCGTGTCCCCAGGCACAGCAGGGACACAGATGTCCTGCTGGATGGCTGAATGCTGCTGACAGGGTGGACTTCAGAGGAGAACATTCCAGGCATGAGAAGTAGTTGGGGGGCTTCCTGAGGTCTTTTCAAACTGGGGTCCAGGGCAGCAGGGCTCTGCAAGACAGCGTGAGCTGCTGGGTGCCTTGGGATTGCACTGATGGGCAGAGGGGACCCCCCTCTGATAAACTGTGCTGCACCCCAGAGCACACACTGCACCCCTGCAGCAGCAGAGAATTACACCCACCCCTGGGAAGCCTCCTGCCTGAGTCCTCCCACCTCACACCTACCACATGCTGAAAGGGGCCGAAGTGACCCTTGTCACCGCTCCAGTCAGCACTGGCTTTTGCTAAGGATGCAGGTCCCCAGGCCTCTCAGCTTGAACATGAAACACTCCCCTTCCTCTGTGTGACCTCCAGAGAGAAGCCCACGGAGCCCCATCCTTACCCTGCGTTGAGCTTGGCTTTATCCACCAGGGACCGTGGCTGGAACATATCAGCCAGTGCTTCCGGGGACTGGGGAGGCTGGCTGGAGGCGAGGACGCTGCAGCTTTGTCCTGTCAGGGGACTGTCACTGAACCACGTCATGGTGGACGACACTGGCGTTCCATTGACGGGGTCGTAGGTGGGCGTCATGGTCTTGCTGTATAAGCCAGCGCTTACTGCAAGGCGAGGAAGATAAACTACCATGAGACTTGGAGAGGAGCACCACACAGGTGGCATTTGCCTAAACGTCGGTGCCACTTACAGAATAACCATAGCAGTTGTGATGGGAGGGAGATTACTTAAATACAGAGCTCTGTGTATTCAGCTCCTAGGAGCTCAGAGATGTAAAGGCTTCCAAAAATCAGCACAGAAGGATGTCGAAGACCACTTCTTTTCTAATAATTGGAAGTTCTCTTATTGTGGCAGAAGGCCTGACACTATGAGAAAATTGAAACCTCACAGAACAAAACTACTGAGTGTATCATACAGTTCCTTAAAGAAGTGGTGGTATTGGCGAATTTTAAGAAGGCAGTAACCTGACCATCAGTGCAGGCTTGTGCACAGTACAAATCGTTGTCTTATGCTATGCATGGGCTATGCTAGGTGAGAAAGCCCTCAACGTGGCACACAAGCTAGAGACCTGGATACTGTGGAATAAAAGGAAAGGGCTACACCTCTTCAGGACTCTTACTGCCCTCCCCTGACACGCCCAACGAAACTGAACTCGGACAAGAATCAAAGAGAATCAGGAAGAGAGAAACATTTTGAGCTATTCAGCTCATCTCCTGTCTAAATATCACTCATTTATTCCCAGCCCATGGACAGTTGTACTAGGACTTTGCATTCACCAGCAACATAAGATATGCAGTTATAATAGTGAGTTATTAAGTATATCTGTTGAGAAAAAGGTTGAGGGGGCTGGAGGTTTAGCTCAGCGGCATAAGCGCCTGCCTTGCAAGCAGGCAGTCGTGAGTTCGATCCCTGGTACCGATAAAAAGGAAAAAGACAAAAAAAAAAAAAAAAAAAAAACAAGAAAAAGGTTGAAATAAATTTTTGTTATTTCCAATATTAACTAGAGAGCTTCTCATCAATCTTGCAATTTTATTCTTCATTTATTTGAGAGAAAGACAGACAGACAGAGATTTTCCCCTTGGATTTTAATCTGTGCTTACCTGGGGAACCTGAACTTGTTGGAGAACTCTCTAGGTTCAGAATATCTTCAATTACAGGCTCCTTATTATTTTTGTCTTTCTTCTTTTTCTTCTTAAAACAGTCATCAGGAGGCTTTAACAAGGAGAGTTCTTCTGATCTTCTGATATCTAAACATGAAACACCCAATGGAAGTAAGAAAAGAAAACAAGAAAATAACGCTAAAAAGAAAATTCCTTTGGAGAGAGGCATTTTGTGCTTTTGATGGAAGTCTGAGAGGAACTGGGAACTGTGTCCCTTTGAAGGGACAGAAGGGGTGGGGGAGAAAGCAGTGCAGGGAGAGTCGGTCCAGTACAGTTTCTGGTTTCCTCTTCCATTGCTGCAGCAGCCAGGGCTGCCCCTCTCCATGGACATGGCCCCGGGCTGACCATGCCTCCCCCAGCTCTCTCCTGCAGGCCGATGCCCTGCACTCTCCTCCCTTCCCCCCACTTTCCTCTCCTCTCCTCTCCTTCTGCTGGGGATCAATCCACAACCTTGTACCTGCCAGCCAGGCACTTACACCACCGACCTAAATCCCAGCCCTCGATGTTCCTAATTTTATCTCCCAAATCTCATGCCACATCCCGGTGATGAGACCGTCTGGCGACGGCTGAGTGTGATTGCCCCCACCGATCAGATGTACAAACCCATGTTAGAAATCCCAGTGGGTTGGGGGTGGAGGCCCAGGCACTGCTTTATTTAATCACTCACTATTTTCAAACTTCCCCTGGACTACAATGGGAAACGAAGCAGGATCCTGTGTGTCTGTGGCCTGTGCACTAGGGCCAGTGGGCAGAGGTGCTCTGTCCCTGGGGGGTCTGCACAGTGGTCACTCGGATCACCAGACAGCTCGCTTGTGCCAGGAGGGAGTGACACAGCCCTCTCGGATGGACGTGCTCTCTGCCCTGGCCCCGTTTCAAGCCAACCTGACCCTCACTGCTGATGCTGCCCCCTTCTCTCTTTCTAGATCCTGTATTTCTCGAGCGTTACATGGTATTGGTTATTATCTGTCTCTGCCTGCTACAATGTATTCTCCAAGAGGGTAAGGGTTTCAGTGACCTTTGTCACTTATGCCCCCTCAAGCACAGGCCACACTATGTGCCACTTACGAGGTGATCAGTAAATATTTGTGAGTGGCTTATAATTTTAACAGATGAGATGAGATTCCTCACTGATTGATGCAGTGCCTCTATTCTGTTTTCAAATGCTCACTTTTGCCATTGGTACCAAGGAAGATTCTATATCCTTCAAAAAAATATAAAATATTAACTTCCAGTCCAGCACAGTAACATACACTTGTAATTCCAGCTACGTGGATGGCTGAGGCAGGAGGATCTCAAGGTTGAGACCAGGCTGGGAAAGTTAGCAAAATCTTGCCTCAAAATAAAAATTTAAAAAAGCAGTGGGGGTAGCTCAAAGGTACAGCGTCCTGTTCCACAGAATGAAACCAATTATCAAGATCTTCACCACACCTGGTTCCCTCCCTTTATGGAGTATCATAAAGAAGAAAGGGCCGGCCTTGTCTTGCTCTTCTACTTTGGGACATCAGTCCACGAAGAACTGTCTTCCATTCACAAGATGAAGGATTCAGTAGAGTGCCCCCTCCCCTACACACAGTAATGATTTGTGCATAGCTCGGGGGCGTGAATGGCTGGCCCTTCTGTGCACAAATGTCTTCTGAAACTGCTCTATGCTGGGTGGACAGGAGCGAGGTGAAAGAGACAGTGGTGTTTACCCCTGCACAGGGCTACAGGGCCCGGCCCACCTGGGCTTGCAGGTCCAGGGCAAGGCTGCGTCCTTCTCCTCTGCCGAATCTAATGGCCAGGGCTGGGCGGTACTCACTCAGAGCCCTGCAGATGTCCCCGACGGCGCGGAACACCACAGCCGAGAAGCTGACCCGCAGCCTCACGGTCTTCTGGTTGGGCAGGCGCAGGCGCAGCATCTTGTGCTGTGGTGTGAAGAGGAGCCGGGCATCAGCTTGCACCCCGCACTTGTCCAGCGTCCAGTGCGTTTTCAGGAGCCAGCACTGCTTCTGCTCCCACCACAGGGCGAAGTCAGACCAGTCCTGGGCGACGTCTGCAGATATAGGAAACATAGCTCAGTGAAATAATGGAGCCGAGCAGGCAGGGTCAGGGTGCCCAGTCACCGCCGTGTGCAAGACCCGAAACCACACCTGGACTTTAGCCCCGCATCTCTTTTGGGTCCTTAGCTTCTCTCCAGAGAGAAAACATTGGAGCTCCACCTCGATCTCCACCTCCATTAAAATACTCTGGGAGGCACGAAGCCTGAACTTGCCGCTCAGGGTAAATGCTAAAGCTTTTTGTCCTGAAACCCCTGTGTCACTGGCATTCAGTCTTCTTCCTCTTACCGAAATGGACTTTCCCTACCGGTCACTAGGGAGAGCTCGCAGCCTGGGAAGGGTGCAAGCTAAGGGAACGTGACATTCCTCCTCACAGCCATACCCATTCTTCTAGCAGCATCACATGCCCAGGTCCTGAGCAGTGATGCAGAGGGGTTGTCACAAAATGTGACAACCAGATGTCCTCAAAGCCTCATAGCTCATAGGCAGGGCTTTTCTTTGCTAGCTGGGTCATAGTGTGTGATGCTGGGATGAAGGAAGTGGTGTTGTCAGCCCGCTGACTGGAATCAGTACAGTTCTGGGTGGGAGCCTGGGGGAGCAGGCTGGCAGCCGCTGCATGCTGCTTCTTGTCTCCTTCCTGTTCTGCCATGAGCTGTTTCTTCTTTGCGATGTCCCTCTACTTTGGAGACAGCCAACTGTGCACTGAAACTTCTACAAAGAGTGCGCTGATATAAGTCTTTCCTCCTTTAACTTTGGATGTCAGGTATTTTGTGCAACCAATGAGAAAAGTAACTAAGACACAGATGTAGTGGTGCATATTTGTAACCCCAGCACTCAGGAGGCTGAAGCAGGAGGATTGCTGTGAATTGAAGGCTAGCCTGGGTTACAGAGTGAGTTCAAGGCCAGCCTGAACACATAGCAAGACCCTGCCTCACAAAACAAAACAAACCAGGGCTGGGGATTAGGCTCAGCGGTTTAAGTGCCTGTCTGACAACCACGAGGTCATGAGTATAATCCCAGGTGCCAAAACAAAACAAAACCAAAAACCCCAAAGAAAACAAACCAGAACAAGGTTAAGTGAGTAAACTGTGGTAGACACACACAGTGGAATATTATATAACGGTGAGAATATGAACTAAAACTACATGAAACGATATGGGTGAATCTCTCAGACACAACGTTGAGTGAAAGAAGGTCTGTGGAAATATATCTCACATAATTCCTTATATGTGAAGTTCATAAAACAAGCCAAATTATTCATGCTGTTAGCAGTAAGGACAGCGGTTACCCTGTGCAGTAGCCACTGGGAGAGGTCAAGTATGGGACTTGAGTGGGGGAACAGGTCATGGTCTATCTCTTGATCTGGTTCTAATTACACATGCCCTTAGAAGCACACTTTACTTAAGTATTTTATATTTCTGCTAAGGCTTAAAGACTGTATCTCATTAGGATAAATGAAAAGCCAGCATGGCAGGTTTAAAAAGGTAACATGAACACAAAGGAAATAGAAAGTTATTATATTCTAGGCCCAATAGTGAGGCCATGTTGTCTGACGTGAATGAAGTCTGCTTCCCGTGTGTCAGGCACAGCAGCCTGGTGGGTAAGCAGGAATCAGCTCTTCAGCACCACGCTGACTTATCACCAAGTAACCAGGTACTAGCAAAGAATTGGCACTTAGTGCCATTACTTAAAGTCACCTTAGATGTCACCTGTGGCCCCCGAAGACTCGGCTGTACAGCGGTGGCTGGAGCTTAGCCTGAGGCTCCTGCGGGGCACTCTCTTTCTCCCCCTCTTCCCTGGAGAGTGATGGGGTACCTGAGGAGATGCCTGTCATCTGGGTACAGGGAGGTGGGTGATCAGAGAAACCTGCAATCAGGGCGGCTGGATCAGCTAGGAAGTAGGGATGCGAGGAACCACCAGGAAAAGACAACTTACTGATCTCTTCCACCAGCTTGAGCATCACGCCTCCCACGTGCAAGTCCCCGGACACCCTCAGCGTGACGTCCCTCCTCTCCTCTGCGGTGGGGTGGTCAACTCGGACCACGAGCTCCCAGGATGCAGCTGCAAAGTCACTGGAGAACATCGTGGTACAGGCGGTGTCTGCAGAAGAAGAGGCAGCCCCAGGTCAGACGGAAGGAGGGGCAGGATACGCCTGCTTGCAGCACATTTGTTATTTTTGCTCTTCATTGCAACCTCTTCTTCAAAAGCTCTGCAGGGTTTCCGGCACCCAGACTTTAAATACAGCATCTTAACTGTAAAGCCAAAAGGTCTTATAAAGGCCGTAGATGATGGCAGTCTTCCACAGATTTTTAAAAAATCAGCTTTCATTGAAGTATAATTTATATACAATACAATGCTCAGAATTTCATGTGGATACATTCATTGCATTTTGTTGTATGAAAATTATCCCTCAAAAAAGGCTGATTTTAGCCGGGCGTGGTGGCTCATGTTTGTAATCTCAGCACTCGGGAGGCTGAGGCAGGCAGATCACAGGTTTGTGTTTGGTCAAATTAGCCTTGAAACAAAAAAGGACTCAAGCATGAAGGCTTGAAATTCAGTCCCCAGTTCTGGGGGAAAAATAAATATTTGTAAATGACTTAATTAAGTTTTTGGCTATCTTTGGACCAAAGGCTTAAAAACAGGGTTGACGGACATAAAAAGCTTCCAGGTGCAGATGAGGCTGGGAACATCACACCTGACCTTTTCTCATCACTGGGAGAGCCGGGAGAAACCACTCACACTGAAATGTTTCAGAGAGCAACAGGTGCACTGAAACCCAAAACTGGCAGAATTTAAACAGAAGTTGAGCTTGTTAGCTCTCTGTGAAACAAACAAATGATACTACCAATGAGGGGTGTTTGAAAGGTTTAAAACCAAAGCCATGCAACTGACTAAAATCATCAATTTTTTTTTCCATTATTTTTTCTGCAGCAGAGCTCAGGAGAAATCCTGTTCTTTCCTCAGGCACTTGAGAAGCAGCAGCACTTGCCAGGAAGACCACAGGGATGCTCCAGCTTCGGGGGCTGACACACCTGTGTGGGTGCTACCTGACGGCTCAAGCTCTCTCCTTTAGCACAACCACAGAGAAAAACATTGACTCCAGGACTGAGTGTCTCCTTTCAGCCTTCCAGATCAGCATCAGGGTGAGGAACATGATTTCTGCAGTCAACAATCACTAAACCAGTGGTGTCGCACCAGTGCTGAGTTCTCTTGAAACCGCACTTTCATAAGGAAATCTCAAAATGCCCTCAACAGATAAACTGAACTTTGCAAATCCATAAACTGCCTACTGCAAATCTGAGCAAGGTTAGGGAAGGTTTGTTATGTTTGAGTCGAATCCGGGAGCTCAGAAGTAATTCCTACTTCAGGGTTTTATAACCAGAAGGATGCCAAACACGCACCCACGTGCCTCTCACTGCACCCCTCAGCTGGGGCGGAAGTGATCATAGGACCTGTCGGCCTCCTCCATCCTCGCAGCCTGGGGTATCATTTTCTGGTGATGGGATCTGTATTAGCTATGGTCTTTCGGTCTTTCTGCTGGCTCCTTCCTGCTCTCAGGAATCTGCCTTCAGAATGAGGAATCCAACTCTGAAGTCACATGATCATCTTAATAGATGCAGAAAAAGCTTTTGATAAAGTCTAGCACTCATTCATGATAAAAACCCTAGAGAAAATCAGAATAGATGGTCTTTACCTCAGTCTGTAATCTATGACAAACCAACAGCCAACATCACACTAAATGGACACGAATTGAAAACTTCCAACCTAAAATCAGGAACAACACCAGGATGTCCACTGTCACCACTATTATTCAATATAGTTCTGCAAGCAGCCACAGGGTGAGACCTGGAGCCCACACTGACACCCAAGACTTTCTCACCCCAAAGCCTTGTTTATCACGCAGGGCTGTGTCTTTGGTAGTTAACAAAAAGAATTTAAAACCTGCGAGCTAAACTCTTTGAGGCCTTTAGTGCACTCTACCTCTGCCACACGACCTTTCCCAGTGTGGGCACTAAAGATAACCTGCATAACCCACCGTTTGCTGGAGCCTTACAGTTTCTAAAAGGTTACAGTGCTAAAGAAAATAACCTTCCTTTAAGATGATTTTCCCAGGCGATCAGGTACGAAGTCTTCTAACCTGGGGACTAGAAAGTTCTCCCCAGTCTGGGGATGGAGAGTCCTTTGCATGGAAATGCCCCCTAAAATTGGGCACGCGGGTTCCCCCACATTCCCTTCCGATCGTTCTGCACCTCGCTTGCCTTTCTCAATGCGTTTCTGCCGGGCAGCAAGCTGTGACTTGCTGGGAAGAGCAAAGTCTAGCGCCAGAGCCCAAAGCCAGGAGAATCCAGGAAAGTCAGACAGAAGAAAGAGCGAGTGAAAGAAGTCCTGACGCCACCCCTGTGATTAGAGGTGCTCGGTGGCCCAGGACCACCCGGTGTCTACCGCTGGGTCAGTCTGTCCACCATGCTGCAGTGCTGGGTGGACAGAAGCGCCTGGGGCTGCACGGAAAGTCGGCCCCGCGAAACCCGGCGCACAGAACCAGGAAATCGGTTCTGGTTCAACCACCTAGAGCTCCAGAGGGCTGCAGCGAGCAAGGGGACAGGGGTCTCAGACCTCGGCCGTGCCCTTCCCGCGCTCCCGATCCCAGCCCGCGAGCACCCACCTCCTGTGCCGGCCTGCTGCGTCCAGCCTGGCGACCGCGCACGTCCACACCTGCGTCCCCGGGGCCAGGGCAGAGGACACCCAGGCGGAACCTGGCCGGCGACGGCTGCGCCCCAGCGACGCTGCGAGGCCTGCGCGGCGCGGCGGGCAGGCGAGAGCTCGCCCAGCGCGGCCTGCCGGGTCTTGCTCCCCCGGGAGGAGGCGGCGCAGCCCGCAGTTCTTAAGGGCCCGAGGTGGCCAAAGGCAGCTCTGAGACAGGAGGGCGGGGAGCCGGCCCGGGATCGCGCGCCCCCCCTCCGCACCCCCCGGGCGACCTTCCATCGCGCGTCCCTCCGGCCCCCGCAGCTCTCCCGGGTCCCCGGGCGCGCCCCGGAGGTGCCCGGGTGATTAAGGCCCCGCCACTTCCCCGGCCCGGGGGCGCGGTCCTTGCTCGGCCCGGGGCTGCGGGCGGAGAGACTGCTTCCTGGCTGGAGCCAGCGCCTGGCTCCGCGCAGAGCCCGGAGCACCTGCGAGCGGCCGCGCGGGGAGAGCGGGCGACTCAGCGCTGAGTCAGAGCCGGCTGGGAAGCCCCGGCAGGGCGAGGTGCAAGGCCGGGGGACCCCGGGAGAGCAAGGCTGGGCCACGTCTGGGCCGCGTCCGCGGTGGCTCACCTCAGGGTCCCCGCCTGGCCTGCGGGTCACCTTCCTATTGGATCTGTTTCCAGAGACCGAAGGGCCACCCAGGAAGGGCGGGAGACCTCGGGCGACTTGCACAACCGCTCCGCGCTCCACGCCTCCCTCTTTCCCTGGGGGAGGGTTGAGGGCTGTTTGCTACTTGCAGGGGGGCGGCGGGTGGAGCCGGGCCCCGGGTTGTGCTGGGCAGGTAAACATTAACTTAACGAGCATGGGGGACTAGGGGTGCCAAATAGCGTGCTCTGCCAGGTACAAGCTAATTGTACCTGCCAGGTACAAGCTAATTGTACCTGCCAGGTACAAGCTAATTGTACCTGGCGGAGTCACTTTACCCCATAGCTAAAGGAAGAGCCTCCTGCATAATGTACTTTCAGTCCTGTGTTAAGTCCCAGGCCCAGAGCATTCCTGCACAGTTCCAAGGACGCGTTAAGGTTACGCACGTGCACAAACCCGGCCACCTGGGTGTTTCTTTCCAAAACAAGGCCCACATCCAGCGGTATCAGAAAGGCCAATTTTTTTTGTGTTTATGTTTTTGTCTTTTTTTGAATAATTTTTTTTTTCTCTTTACCGGTACCGGGGATCGAACTCATGACCGCCTGCTTGCAAGGCAGTTATGCCGCTGAGCTAAATCCCCAGCCCCTATGTTTTTTTTGAGAGAGGGCCTTGGTCTGTAGTTCAGGCTAGCCTTGAATTCACTCTGTGCCCCAGGCTGGCCTCAAGCTCATGGTGATCCTCCTGCTTCAGCCTCCCTAGTGCTGGGATTACAGGTGTAAGCCAGTGTACCTTGTCACGGGTCACATTCTTTAAAGACCCTCCCTGGTGCTGAGACCTGATTGAGATTAGAACTTTTTCTTTCACAATTTCTCTCCTGAGCTTCTTGATTAAAGTCTTTCAGGGAACTCGGATCATAGAAAAAGAACACAGACATTTTTGAGATACTGACATTCCAAAGTAACCTCAAGGGAAAATGTCAATAAACCTATGCACCAGGTAAATGAAACACCGATAATCAGCTCAGTTTCCCAGGAGTAACTCTGGAGTACTCCGAAGCCAAACTTCACCCCACGCTGGTGTCTCTGTGGCCTGCCTGCCTTCTTCTCAAAGGTGTAGCTCTCTGTGTATTTGCTTTACAATAAACTCTGCCTGGACTTCTGCAGAGCCACCTACGCACCTTGACGGAAGCTTCTCATCCCAAGGCAAAGAGCTGAGGCCCAGAGTGAGGCACCTGGCTCCCTGGCGACAGTGGAGTGACAGAAATGATCATTTATTTCCTTGTCTAAAAATGAGTGGAAGGAACTCTTTCTCTATTTTATGAAATAACAGAATCACCACACTGAGCCTGTATTTTAACCCAGCAAGTTTAGCTTATGGATTCATTCAGCGCCTGTGTTAGCAGGAGTGAACTGGGTATTGTACTTGCTGAATATTGAGATAGGCATGGCATTTATCTCCCAATTTTAAGAGATGAAGAGACAGAGCAGACAGGCTGGAGTCAGTATAAACAGGAGCTGTGTCTCCCAACCATAAGGTCTTGAGGTTTATAGGGCAAATATGGAAATAATAGCTACTAGCAGTTACTCATACACTGATTAACTCACTTGTAGTATCTTCAAAAGGAAATCGTGTCTGTCTTATCATGTAGGATATGAGTAGATGGAATTGGATGAGAAACACGGTCATGTTCTATAGTCATTGAGGACTAAAGGGAAATAAATAGATGACCACTGACATCACGTTACAGTGACACACACATATTCATGTTCATAGCAGCCCAGTCTGTAACAGCTAAGTTATGAAAGCGGCCTATGTGCCCATCAACAGCTGACTGGATAAAAGAAATGTCTTATGTATATAAATATATACAATGGAGTAGCCATAAAAGACACATTTGAATTACTGGTAGGACAACGGATGCATCTAGAGCCCACAATACTGAGCTAAATCAGACACGGGTTAAATATCTCCTGGTTTCTCTTCTATGAAGAACTAGAAATATAAAAAATCTAAAAAGGAAAACAAGAGTAAGATGGTAAAAAAAAACCAAGGAGACAGACTTCATGGAGATGATGAAGGGATCTGGGAATGGGGAAAGACATGAGGGAGGAGAGAGAAAGGGGACGTAAAAAGGATCAAGACGCTGTATATATGTGTGCCAACTGCATATATTCATTGTATATAGCAAACAGAATAATAAAAAATAAATCTTTAGCTACATTTCACTTGTTAAACACAGGCTTGTGGCACCATCCCAGTCTTCTAGATGAGCCTTCAAGGTTCACAGAATCCCTAATACCCATCCTATAATTTAGCTAGAGTTAGAAAGTTGCCTGAAGGAGAAGAAAGGCACGATTCCTTTCCTAAAGATGGCTGCAGTGGAAAAAGCGAACAGGAGGTCACCCAGTGTCAGTTTTTCCGTGATCTTTGGCTCATCAGTTGTGCCAAGCCTGGCCACTCAAAACGGCAACAGATGCCTGCAGTGTAATCTGATTTCCACGGAGTCCTTGGGCCACACAGAGCAGGGGCTGTTTCGGACTCAGTTGGCTCTGCATGTTGAACCAGAAGGTGCTTATTCCAGAGACAATCACCTTTCCAGCCAGATGGTAACACGTCTTTTCCATGCCCAGGCACGTCCTTTAAATGCTCTCCTGAGCTGGGCAGAAAGGGCGAGTCCCGATGCGTCTAAGGGCTCTGCTCTGAGATGGCGAGGAAAAAAAAGAGGAGGAAAAAAGCCATCACCAGAGGTATGCTGCAGCCACCACTGTGAATGAGAGAAACTGGAAACACGGTTCTCTTCCCCTCTCTCCCCCTCTCCTCCTTAGTCCATCTTCAGAGGACGCAGAGGAGGATGCCAGGTAATCATGTCTTCCTCCCTCCCTTGATTATAAAGCTTCCTTCCCTGGAGGTAATAGTTAACTGTTTCTCTGGAGCCTCCCAGAGATGGTTTATGCATGCAGTCGAGTTTGCTTCTTAAGCTGGTAATGGGAGCCCAAATACATTATTTTGCCTTTATTTTTTTTTCCCTCACTTTGGAACATTGTGGTGGTTGTAGCAGGTATTTGTTTTGGACAGTTTACCTTTATCCTTGGAAAGACCTCTTTAATGTTTGTGGAAATCCCTGTTTTTATCCCAGGCTAGACATCAGGACTCAATTTCCCAACTCTGCTTGCAGCTGGGGCCCTGGCCTCTGACCTCAGCTGCAGGCTCCTGGGAGTGAGGTGTGCAGACAGGAAGCGCCTGGATTGTCCATCTTTCAAGTCTGGGGTAGTGGCATGAGCACTAACTTTGGTGGTGGCTGTGGCAGTGCCAGTGGTTTCCTAGTGGCCAGGTTGCAGTTCTGAAGCAGAGGAGCGGTCAGTGTTGGGTGGTGGCACTGACATACAGTAAAGACACAGTCTGATGCAGCAACGGAGACTCCTCCCTCAGGTCAGTTCTCTCGCTCTGTATCCAAGGTGGTTATTGAATTTTAGCTCCCAGGCTTCTTCTCTTGTTTCTCTCAAGACTCTGCGAGCATTAGCATGTTTTTTTTTGCTTACTTAATTTGCTGCCTAACCTAGCCACAGTGGATCCTGTTGTTTTGTTCCCAACAGAATTTGGTCCCTGCAATCGAGGTCAACAACAGGCAGGGCTTCAGATCAGGAGGGGACATTCACTTGCAAGTGGGACAGCTGATGACTTGTGCAATGGTGGGATGTTCTCACATACAATGATTTCAGGTGCAGGCTGAAGCTGGGGGCGGCTGTAGAGCTGCAGCCAGAATTCCGAGAGTAGATTTTTTTCCTCCATTGGAGACAAGCAGATTCTCCAAATTTCTCAGGCCCAGGGTGTAACAGGTATCCTACATCACCTCAGCCCAGATAAATGGACAGAACATGGAGATGCTGACACTCGGAGACCCGGGTCCAGTCTCTGTTTCTGCAGGGAAGGGGGGAATGGGAGATGGCTGGGAGCGGCAAAGCCAGCCAGAGTAGATGGGCACGGCCTCTTGTATCCTCCTCCCCTCTTCTGTTGCCATCCAAGAGCCCAGCACACCTTCCGTAGTGAACTGTAATCTGAGGCAAACAGATCAGAGGTAGCTTTGAATAAATCCTTTTTCCCTTTTCCCTTAAATAAATGGCCTTCTTTGATTTGATCATCAAAGAACAAAGGGCATAGAAAGAGCAGAGGCACCTGAGTGCATGGCCAGAGTGCCTGGCAACAGTACTGAGACAAATGGCGTCAAGTACTCAGAATGTGGGTGTCTGCTGCTAACTCACTGCATCCTTCAGCAGATCCCTGACAGGGAGGAGCACCCAGACCAGAGCCAACGAGAGAGCAGGAGTCAGGAGAGAGTCTCCTGAGCCGCGTGTGGGGATGAGGGGTGGAGTTGTGGTGCAGGCGGAATGTGTGTGGGAGTGGGGTGGAAAAGCTCTCTCTGCTGCAGCCAGAGCTCCAGCCTGATGGAGAGGCCCCCCATTTGGGCTGCAAA